GCAGTGCTAGCTCAAATGCTGGTGAGGAATTTAGAAAAGGAGGCAGTATGAGTTCGGAGCCAGCTCTGTCATCTTCCATGAATCCTTGATTTTTTTTTCATGGCACTGGGTGAGAGTGTGCTGAGAGAACAAATCTGATGCAAGCAGAAAATAAGCTGATTTAGTAAATTTGCCAGACAGGAGAACTATGGCTGGGCCCTGGAGCCAAGGATCATGGGAAGAAGGGCAAACTGAGAACAGGTAAATATATGTTATGAGGGTAGCTTGCCAGAGTAGTGGGCAGAGGGCTAAAGGACACTTGGACTTGAATACGTGTTCTGAAATCAGCTGGCTCTCATATGTGGGTGAGTGGCTTTCTCTTTCTAAATTGAGCACCTTTTAATATGAAGAGTACTCATTGAATGATTTGGAAAGTCCAAACTGAGCTGGATTTCTGTGTGATGTTTACTAGATTCGTCCAGGAGGTGCATGGTTAAAAAAAAAGTCCCTAAGATGTTTTAAAAAAAAAAAAGTCCATGTCTAAACCCAAGGCACATAATTGCAGAATAAAATGAAGAAATGAAAATTCAAAGGGCTAGATGGTTTGAGTGAGTGGAATAGGTATGGAAAAAAAAAAATCAGGAGTAGCCCAAAGACATGATTTAGAATTGGGCAAACATCTCTACAGAAAGTATTTTTCAAACAGGTTCTTTGGATTTTGTTTGGCCAGGACTCCTGAAGGATGGCAAATTCTCTCATACTGCGGATTTCTTTTTAGGTGGAATCAGTCAGGGCCCCTCTGCTCCTCTCTGCATGAACTCCAATTACAGGCAATTTCCAGCTGTTGGTGTCCTTGAGGCTACACGTTTGAAAAAATAAGTTGTTAATACAGTTACAGATTTAATTCTCAATTCTTTTCCTTCTGTTTAAAACAATTTTTTTTTGCATTTCATACTTTGCTGTAGGCCAAGGTAGTCACAGTTTAACTTTTCTTTTAGATAGGGTCTTGGTATATATAGTTTAGGCTGGCCTTGAACTCTCTATGTAGCCCAGGTTGGCCTTAAATTCATGATCCTCCTGAAGGACAATCCTGAGTATTAGGATTACAGGCATGTGTCACCATGCTTGGATGGTCCTTGTTTAAAGTTGTTACAGACTATCACAATTCTTTAATTGCATGGATTCTACACAGGCCCCAGCTAGATGTCTGCTTCTCACACAGAGGAGTGGGAGAGGGAGGAGAAAATGAGATGCAGGCACCCCAGACTTTCAGGGGAGCTCCAATAGGATTTACCGTGCACAGTCTGCAGACCCTATCTATCCAATTTCTCCAAGGGAGTTCCACAAATCATCCTCCTGACACATCTACCACTGAATAGCACTTACCTAGAAGTTATTCACAGCCTCCCTACTCTAAGGTCAGAAAAGTTCTTTGTTTGTCTGTTTTTTGTTTTTCTTTTGGAGACAGGTTCTCACTATGTAGTTGAGACTGACCTGGAACTCACTATGTAGTCTGGTCTCGAACTCACAGCAATCCTCCTGCCTCAGCCTCCCGAGTGCTGGGATTACAGGCGTGCACCACCAGGCGAGGCGTCAGAAGCATTCTTTGTCATGGCGAACCTCATGGCTAATTCAACTGCACTTCCTGGTGAGATTTTGAAGAGGGAAAGGCAAATCTGAAGTTCCGCCTATTAGTCATGGCTTCCATGTCAGTGTCAGTGATCGTCACCTCCTGGGGTTCACATACTTGTGTGAATGTCCTTCCACATTGTACCAGGGCTTGTTTTGTGAACAATAGCTTATAGAAGAAGAGCAGGAGGTCAGCAAATATGATGTGAGGTATCTCAGGCAGCCCATAGCTAGGCTCATATGAAGAGGAAGTAAAGCTTTCTTCAATAGCCAGTGAACAACTGAGGCCTAATGACAACTGTCTTAGTCACTTTCCTTGTTGCTGGGACAAAAGGCCTAACACCTGCAACTTAAAGGAGGAGAGGTTTATTTTGGCTCACATTTTTAGGATGTACCTGGAGGATTCCAAGGCAGGAAGGCATGGTAGAAGGGAAGGGTCTGGGGAGAAGAAAAGGGCTTAAACCATGGCAGCCAGGAAGCAGGGAAGGAGTTCAGAGAAGGAAGAGAGAGACACTGTAGACAGTTCAAGGCCACGCTCCTGGTGACTTACCTCTGAACAGGCCCCACCTTCCAACGGCAAGATAGCTATAGCACACATATGCTCCAGCTACCTTCCAAGAGCCTTGCTTCTGACAGCATGAGACTCTGCGGAACACATAGATAGAAACCCTAACAATGGCCACCGTGTGTGTGAGCTTGTCAGTACACTCGCTTTTGGTTGACCCCTCAGATGAGAATGCAGACCTGGCTGACAGCTTAACTCTGACCTCAGGGAGTTATCCTGCAATCACCCAGGAATCACCCTGCTCAGCCACACTAAGATTCTTGGCTCTTAAAGCTCTAAAAGAACACATGTGGGCAGTTTGGGGGTTTTAATTTGTTATACAGCAGTAGATAATTACTGCACTTTGTATTTTCTTCTTTTGAGTAGAGATAAACTGAGTCAGGAAAAAATGCTAAGTCTCCATTGACAAATCAACTTGCTTATCTTGTTCGGTGCTGTGTTCTTGGTCCCTAGATTCTCAAATGCATTTAGCAATAAGAATCACCTGGGGCGCTACACACAGTTCAATATACAGAACTCTAGAGTGAGTCCCTTGGTTTAGAGTGGGACCCAGGAATAGTAAGTTCTACTGGCATCCCAGATAATTTTTCTCATCAAGCAAGTTTGAGGAACTGCAGAATAGGGTGTGAAACCGACTGAGACCTGGCTCTTCCTCAGGGAAAGGCCATGATAGAACGAGAACTGGCACACCGCAGGGCATCTGAAGAGAAGCACAGGTGACAAGAAGAACTGAAAATGAGTAGGACAATAAAGGCACGCTTCCTGCAAGAAAACAACACGGAAGCCATGGCTCAGGCACTGGTTAGGGTCTCACACAGAAAGACAGGGAAGAATCAGTTCTAGTCAATCATAGCTGGTGTTTCTCAGGTGCTGGCTAGTTCCAGGCACTGTGCCAAGCACTATACCTGTCTTACTTTATTTAATCCTCAAAACAATCTTATGATGTAGGAGCTCTTGTCATCTCTAGCTTATAAATAAGGAAAGATAGCCTTTGGTTGCCATACTGCCCAATCACATTGATCATGCATGTAGAGCTATGTGGAAAGGATGCAGCGGATGCCATATCTCAAGCTCTTTACCACATCCTGTTCCATGTCCCAGGGAACACAGGACTCAGAGATGTGAAAGTGCTGTGACGTTTCTTCAAATGAGAAGAGTATACGCAAATGACCAAAGAAGTTGTCTGGGGAGGGATAGGCCCACAGCAAGATAGTGCATGAGGCACTAGAACCTGGTAGTGATTTTCTAATGCAAGTTCTATTCACTTGTATTGTTAACGAGGACAGAGCCTCAGAGAGGACATGTGACTTTCTCAAACTCATATAGCTGAACTGTGGCAAAGCGAACTAAAGCTCCACTTCCTGAGCAGTACCCTGTCCATCATGGACACTTAAGGCCAATCAAGAAAGGCATTGCATGGACACCTTGCTATGGAGCTCTGAACTATTCTATAGGAGAGACACTTATGTAAAATACACAACAAAATTCATAGCTTTAAATGTCCAATTCAGTGACATTAAGTACACTCGCAGTGCCATCAAACATCATCATTATCCACTTCCAGGACTTCTTCATCAGGTACATTTATTTTTTGAGGAATCAGCATACTGTTTATACTATTTATACATAGTATAACTATAATGTGACATATTCCCACCAATAGCACCTCAGAGCTCCAATGTCTCCACATCTTCACCAACGCTTGGTATATTTCATTCCTTTTTAAGGCTGAATAATATTCTATTTTATTATATCTCCTATGTATTTTGTTTATCCCTTTCTCAGCTGACTGATACTCAGGTAGCTTCTGTCTTCTGGTTATTACGTATGACATTGGTTATACACAACGCTTATGCCCATCTGCATTCCTGCTTTCATCTCTTTTGAGTTATATACCTTGAAGAGGAATTGCTGATCATATGGTAATTCTATGTTTAGCATTTTGAGGAATTTATAGACCTATGTAGGACATCTATGCTCTGTAAGTCAGCTCTGGTCATCCCAACCTGAAAGATATATCGTGTGTGTGTGTGTGTGTGTGTGTGTGTGTGTGTGTGTGTGTGTAGGGAAGGGAGCCCTTCCTCTCTCCACTGTGGCTGCCCCCTCCAGAGTGCATTCTCCGAACCTCTTTCCAACAGAGATACAGGCAGCTGACAATGGACAGTCCGGGTTGCCACTGAGCTTGTCCAGGAGCTGAGGTTTGGGCCGGTTTCTGTGTCCTGCGCGGGCAATGCAGTGGACAGCAGGGCGGCTCCTCCGGTGCTTTGAAAGCTCCCTGTTCAGCTGGGCCGTGTCCGCCCACTCTGGCGGCGGGGCTGGACTGGCCAGGTGAGCGGCCAAGGAGCCCAAAGCCCTGGGGCAGATCCAGGCCCTCCCCCGCAGCCCCGGCCAGGC